TGATGCTGATGGTTGTTGTCGTTATCATGCTGCTGCTTCTGATGCTGCAAGGGCTGCTAATGCTGTTCGTGCTGGTTTTTCTGCTGCTGTTGCTGCTGCTTTTGCTGTTGCTGCTGCTGCTGCTGCTGCTGCTGCTGCTGCAGTTGTTGCTGCTGCTGTTGCTGTTAAGTTTGATGGTATTATATCGAAGAAAATTGTGTATAACTCTGCGCTCCTGCTGCTGCTGCTGCTGCTGCTGCTGTTGCTGCTGCTGCTGCTGCTGCTGTTGCTGCTGTTGCTGCTGTGTGTTGTGTGCATGCAGCCCCATGAAGTCTTTTACAGAGAACCTGAATTTATCGTTGCCTGTGTTGTCTCGCTTTGATTTAATTTTTTTTCTTTACGACAAACCAACAGCAGCAGCAGACGCAAAGCTTGCTGCTCATATACTAGCATCCCGCAACACAAAACCACCACCAGCAGCAGCAGCAGCAGCAGCAGCAACTGCAGCAGAAACAGCAGGATGCTTTGCTGCTGCTGCTGAGGGAGCCTCAACCGACAGCTCGTGTCTAGAGGAGAGACTCATAGCCACAGAGGTCCGTCTCTTGCTGCTGCTGCTGCTGCTGCTGCTGCTGCTGCTGCTTCTGCTGCTGCTGCTGCTGCTGCTGTATTGCTGCAGTTGTTTCTTTCCGGCTTGGGTTTTCTGTACAGCACATATTGGTTGTTGCTGCTGCTGCTGCTGTGGCTGCTGCTGCTGCCGCTGCTGCTGCTGCTGCTGCTGTTGCTGCTGCTGCTGCTGCTGCTGCTGCTGCAGTCTGCTGACCTGCTGCCGCTGTCGCTGCTGCAAGACTACATATACTACGCTCGGGAGCACGTACACCCCAAGCTGTCTCCAGAAGCAGCAGCAGTTATAAAAAAATATTTTTTTATGCTGCGGCAGAAGCAGCAGCAGCAGCAGCAGCAGCAGCAACAGCAGCAGGGGCTGCGAGTCGCCACAAGACAGCTCGAATCCTTAATCCGGCTCTGCCAGGTTTGCTGCAGCACACACTTGCTGCTGCTGCTGCTGCTGCTGCTGCTGTTGATGCTGTTGCTGCTGCTGTTGTCTGTGGTGCTGCAGTT